TTAATAATAATTTATTAAACTTAAATTAACTTAATGAGTTGCTGATGATTATCATTGTCAAATATTTTAATACATTATATATTCTAATATTCTGTATTCAGTGTGATTCATGGAGCGTACAACACTCATTATTTCCAAAAGTGTAACTGTTTTTGAAAATATAATTTTACATAGCTTCAAGTCGTTTACAAAACCATGGTTTTATTAAAAAATTATATTTTTAACATTTTTTTATCCCTATAATTCTTTAAGTATTTTACTTTTTTGAATGACAACATGTAGTTTTAATTTGATATTCCAAAACAGAATATTTTTCTAAGTATTTCGATACATAAAAATTGAATTTAGGGCAAGTAGTTTATGAGTTATAAACATTCAAAGTTTAGATGAGCGGAGTACTGAACAAATATGTCGCGAGACGCGAGGTAACCCCGTACCACTCTACTCCGCTCATCAAAACTTTAAATACCTATATCTCGTAAACTACTTGCCCTAAATTCAATTTTTATACATCAAATTACTTAGAAAAATATTCTGTTTTGGAATATCAAATTAAAACTACATGTTGTCATTCAAAAAAGTAAAATACTAAAAAAATTATAGGGATAAAAAAATGTTAAAAAATAATTTTTTAATAAAAACGTTGTTTTGTAAACGACTTGAAGCTATGTAAAATTATATTTTCAAAAACACTTTTTGAAATAATGAGTGTTTTACGCTTCATAAATCACACCGTATACGTCATCCAAGAAAACTTAAATAAATGTTTATGTTGTGTTTTAACATGTAGATTACCACCATTCTTCTTTTAGTTGGAGATCCAACAAGTCTATTGCTTAACACATCAAAATAATTTAATATCTATAAGTATTGTTGTTATTGTATGTTGGTGGACATTTACCAGTTTAGTAACTATTTAGCTATTATGGTGTTTATATGACTGTTATAATATGAAGATTTGAAATCAATAACGGACTATATGCCAAAAAGATTATATTTTTGCGCTGGAGCAACATACCATACTCACTATCTAGTAGATATTTGTTAGGTTATTAGCAATCATCAAAGCTCATAGCTTGTTTTATATATTATTGGGCTTGTCTCACTTGATACGTTTTTCTGGGAATTATCCACTCAATTTTTCATTTTTTGACACTTTCTCGGATTTCGAGTCTTCGTATTATGTAGTTTATCAACTCATTACAACGTTTTTTTTTCATAATAAATTAAAATAAAATGTATCATAATATATAAAAGTATACTATACAAGTACCAATAATATATTTATAATAAAAATCATGTTATATGGGTTACCTAAATAATATTATCATACCTGTGGATGGCCAACAGTAACATTTTTAAAATGCAAATAAAAGTTGGGGTCTGCATCGCTTCGTACGGCATGGTTTTGCTGTATGATTTTCTTCAAATCGCTATCGATAAATGCGTTAAAAGAGTTTATATGATGACTGTATAATCCACGGGTCTCCAAATATTCTTTGACCAGAAATTCTTTGTCACGGAGCACTTCGACCATTTTTACGAATTGTTGCCGTTCTTGTTATGGGCCCTATGCCTTTGAGTTATTCTAATAACAGTCGACAGAGTTGAATAACTTCGAATGAAATATATTTCACAATGTTGAGAGTAAACGTTGAATTATCACGATAGAATTTCGAAAAAACGTGCGATTGTTATTATGTCTAAAAACGTGATAAAACTGATAACGGTGATAGTAAAAATGATAACAATTGACGATTGATAATAAGTGAAAACGATATTAATATGTCGCCCCATCAAAATATGCAATACAACGTCCTATAGGTTGAGTAAGTGTATTCTGCWCTCTGTAACCATAATATGCACTTCAATTGGAGATTCAAATCCAGGAAGGTTTAATTAAAATTAATATGATCTCGTATACGATGTCAAAAGATAAATGTCACGCACTAATTATTACTGTAGTTGAATAAATACATACCCTCCATAGAAAACAAACAATAATCGTACCTCCATGGCTCCATACACAATAGGTCCTTACTCATTGATACTGACATCGTTAACCTACTTGAATAAAATCATTTTTGTAGTTTTACGATGTGAGTAGACACGAGAGCGGTATATGGGGGATGGATCCCCCCATGACATTTTTTTTTATACATAGGTATGATCATTAATTTTTTTAGATAAAAAAATTATGATATTGACTTGAAAGAAACCGTACAGTCGTCAGCGGGGTGCAATGTATCTGTTACGGTCAAAGTAGACTTTTGGGCAATGTTTACTTTGCCCGGGCAATTATGGTACTGCTCAATATTATGACGGGAAATGTAGGCGAAATTAAACATTGCCCGGACTGTATAGAATAATTGCCCGGTAAATAAAAGCTTGAGGAAATATAAAACAAAAGTTTTTATTCTATAATTATAAAAATTTTTTATCTTATCAATCTTATAAATTACTTTATTAGTTGAATATTATTACATTAACTATTTATTGTTACGATTAGCATTACCAACATTTTTGATCCCAATTACCAAGGCTGGTAAAGTAGATTTAATTTTAAGTTTTTAAAACTTAACTACCTAGTTATTGGAGTTATTTGGATTTTCATTAACTATTAACTTAAATATTAACTTACTAAATTTATCTTTTAATTAACAAATTAATTTTTATTTAAAGAAATACATTTAGTAGTATATTACGCTTTCATTAAAAATATTTATCACGAATTGTTTAAAGTTAAAGATATTTTCTATTTTTAAAATATTTTGTTATTATTTATTAAACATATTAAAATGATAGTGTAATACTTTATTACAAACGTGCACACACAACAAATTATATTTGTTTACAACGTTTAATTAAATAGTATTAATTTATTATTTTCAGATATTAATTATTATTTATTACTTATTACTTATGAGATAAATTATTACTGTTTATTTTTAAGAAATAAAAACCACAGTGAAATGCAATATACCTAGTACCTACTATATGATATTTCCATGGATACACTATATAAACAATAAAGTATAATATTAAACACTATAGTCATAGTCTATAAATTAGTTTCRGGTTTGTAAAAAATAATGTTCGCTAGTAAGTTAATAGCTCAAGTTAGAATGTTCAATTTAGTATAGGCAATGTGTACTTGGACTGGTCAAAGTATAACCCTGCCCGGCCAAAATATAATTTTTACCCAAAAATAATGTATATTGTAGGTACCTTAGGATAACGCAAATAATGATTCAAATACTTATAGCACTTCGAAATAATATAGGCAATAATTCAAACTTAAAATAGGTTACCTAAATATCATACCAAGACAATCGAAAATAAGTTGTCATGATTCTCAGGAAATATCAATATTTTATTTGTTATTTTAGTCTTAGTTTATAYTCATATTTTTATTTTTAGGCTTATTAACATGATATGTTTCATACACCTTATAAGCCCGTTATGTCCATCCGTTCGTTACGATTGATGATAAGTATTGTTTTTATTCGTTTATTTCCAGTACTTAATATTACAGTT